GTGCACACTGAGCTGGAACGGTCCCAGGTTGAGGTCCAGCGGTGCACACTGAGCTGGGAAGGTCCCAGGTTGAGGTCCAGCGGTGCACACTGAGCTGGGAAGTTGGCAAAGAGCTTGGCGAAGTGAGTTGGCAAAGAGCTTGGCGAAGAGTTGGCAAGGCGGAAGTGCAGGTGGAAGTTGATGCAGACATGGTCGAGGAGAGTCTGGAGGAGGAGGGCGAGGAGGAGGACGAGGACGAGGACGAGGAGGAGGACAGCTAGCCGAGTAGGAGGAGGAGGAGAACAACTCTGATAAAATCTAACAACCCTCACCTGGCAGGTGGGGAAAAAACCCGTGTATCCCCATGAATCTCCCACAATTTTGTTATCTCTCTATTGGATCCTATTGGTTCATATGAACGGCTGGGATCAAAATCCCATGATCCAATTGTAGATTCTTCATTTTGAGGGTTGGGAATATATCCCATTATATATGGGTATATATAGTATAGGTCAAGTCATTGGGTACCCCAATAATTAGATGGTAAAATACTGTTAATACTAAAGTTTCAATCTGTGGTCCCTTCTGGGGCTTAAATTTTGACCCATCCCCATCTGAATTCATGGAGGTTTCCTAAGTCATGGGGGTACCCCAAAGTCATCCATTTCAATGGTTTTTTCCGCTATAAACCATCCAAACTTTGTGGTACCTCCATTGATGGAAACCCCCATATTCACCATTATAAACCATTCTTATCCCATTATTAGTCACTGACCACTATTATCCCATGATTTTCAATGATGAGACGATGTGTGGGTGTCTAATGAATCATATGAATCTGGGTGTCTTTCAAAAGTCTGGACGAAGGGTTTTCTACCTTCTCAATGGTATGTGCCTGTCTCAACCCTCCTCCCTGTATCAAAGGTGCTTTCTTTTTCCCCTCCTCAAAGGTCCTGGTTTCCCAACCGTATTCCCGGAAAATTTTCCCATGTTCGAAGGATTTCTCAAGGCCAAGTGTTTTCCCACAGTGAAGGTTCGCGCTCAAGGCTGCCAAAAAAATAAAAAATAAAATAAAATCCCGGAGACAAACCCATACCCCGGGGAAGAACACTTGCGACCGAACATTGCAAATATGCATAAAACATGCTATGTGTTTTTCTCAATGGTATGTGCCCGTCTTAATTTTTTTAAAATTTTTATTTTTATTTTTTCTCCCCGGAGGTCCCGGAGAGGAACCCTTGGAATTTCTTCCCCCGGAGGTCCCGTAGAGGAACCCTTGAAACCCTTTTGCTCGTTTTTTTCTCTTTGTCGTCTTTCGTCGTCCGTCGTGTTTCAATGGGGATCCTTGAGACAGACACTTGACCTGAGCAAGACCACAAACGAGAAAGTACCTTGGCGCAGACCTTCGAGTCTTGTATCATATTTCACGAACCTCAAATAGGTTTGGGGAGGATTCCCCATATATAAAGATAAACATAAACCGTCATTCCAGTGGGCTCCCTGGCCTTGTAGATGTCTCGCCCGCCGTCTGAACCGCCGCTTCTATGGCCTCGTGTTTAGATACATTTGGATAAAGTAATTTTAGTAGGACTTGGTCATTTGGTAGATTCGGACATTTGGAAACTCATTTGGAACATATTCAGGGAACCTGAATTTCGACAAGTTTGTGGAAAATGTAGAAGTGGAGTGAGATTACCACCGCACCGCGTTTTTTAACGTGTGGAAACCGTACGGAGTTGTTATCCATGGAGATCTAGCGGCTCCACGACGTTCGAACCAAATCGGCGCCCCTGCTGTTCCAGATCTGCTAACTTAGGGCCCCAGAAAAAATCGAAACACATTCCAGAGAATTCCCTAATTGGTGGTCAATTAAGCATTGAGAAAATAAATTTAGATCATCTTCAGCGAATCCAAGTCACATGTTTTTTTGTTTTTCCCAATATTTATGGTGGATTAACTACTGGTGACCTTCATCCTGATATCACTCATCTAAGCAGGACGAGACCAAGGATCAAACAGTGACGACTGATGTGATTGTCCACTTCGCAAAGTGGTAAATTATCAGCTGATCTTTTTGAAAAAAAATGGATACTCCATTCTTTTTCATCCTTACGAATTTCCAATGTTCATGAATGAGAATTCCCATTTATTATCCATACTATCCATATGTTTCCCATATATTTCCCTTAAATGTTCCATCTTGGATCAGAAAAAACGTGAAAAAAATCCAGAAAAAACGGATCCCAGCGGGATGATCCGCCGATCCGCCTGAGTGCCTTCGCACTGCACCCCGACGTTCTGACCTGGAATCCATGGCGCATCGGCCCATAAGAGACAGCTATCTATCGAATCTATCAATCTAATCTAATCTAATCTAACCTATATAATCTATCAATCTAAGCTTATCTTATCTAACCTATATAATCTATCAATCTAAGCTTATCTTATCTAACCTATATAATCTATCAATCTAAGCTTATCTTATCTAACCTATATAATCTATCAATCTAATCT